GTCAAGGGGGGGCAAGTCGGGCCAGCCCGTCCCGCCTCGCCAATAGGCGGGCTACGGGCCGGCCCGCCCGGTCGGCCCGTTTTGACAGCTTTACGTATATGACCTTTACTAAGTTGATTGAACTTAGATATGTTTTGTCTCGACCTGATATTTATTATGATTATCAATTGAATTAATTGATGTGTTAACGCCTAAAAACCGACAAAGTTAATAGTTAACATCTGACCGTTCTATGTCTGTTACAACGACTATTTCAGCAGGTTGTTAGCGTTAGTAGGTTGTTGTCAACTTAAAATAAGAGTTTCTAAGTTGCAATAATAGAAGGACTGGTTATCTCGTTCATCATATGTATTTTCATTCTCCAAAAAACTTCACGCATCATAACATATAATTGTGCTCAGTTCTCGACTATGTTCGAGTTCACCTGAAGACGCTAGTTGTTGTACCACTGAGAATATACTGGCAATATTCGTAAAACACTATATGAGGCATATTCCTCTACGGATATAGACTGATTCTCTCTCCAACTATTATCTTTTGTAACTTATTCTGGCCTCAACAATTATATTTGTAATTTCATTCTCAATTTGTAATTTTTCAAATAAAAATTGAACTATTTAGTTCATATATTTCCCGTATAATACACTACTAATAACAGTTGAATTTTGTTTTGAATGATTCTAGTTCCAATCTCTAGTTGTATAAGAAGATCGAGACAAGCTTTTTACATTTTAATTCACTTAGTAGGCCTATTTAAATATTATCTTAAAATATTTGGGGATTATCTTATTAATGATTTAAAGTTATAACAATATAAGTGTTTTTTTTTTAACTAAACCCAATGAGATTCTCTATTTTAACTTTATATTTTATTTTGTGTTTCATTCTAGTATTTGTTATTTGTATTTCCAATGAGGAACATGAGTTTTAACGTAAATTTTTCTTACTTTTATTGAATATTAAAAGTTACAGGCCACTATCAACTAATATATTTATCAGTTTTGATACACACGTGGCTAATTTTGAATTTTTTTCTTGAGAAGGCAACGTGGCCTTTGCCAATCAATCACAAATGTTCACGTTGACTCGTTTTTCTTGAAGATAATGCCCTGTAAAAATGTTACTCTACTTTGCAAAACTAAACAATTAGAATGGCCCAGCAATGATTAATTGTTTCTTTGGCTAAAAAGGATGATTTGGAATCTAATAATGGCAGCTTAATTTTAGTATAGATAGATGATGACTGTGATGTTTGTACTACTCTCCTTTCCTATATATATTACTACCACGGCATAGCTTGTTTGTGTTGGATAGGTAAAGACATTACGATTACCCCCTATCCAAATATTCTATCTATCATCTTGAACGATTATTACATAAATCCAATCCTCAATTCCTCATACATACATATATAATAATTATTAAATCATGGACCACAACCTATATGGGCCCTGTGCATCCTTAAATGGACTCAAACGGGTTGGATCACATTTTTCAGAAGTCGAGGAGCCCACTAATTGGGCTTATTTCTTTTATTTTGTGGGCCTTTTCTGTTTCCTCTCCAACTTACATTTCCAGATTATATCTCTTGGCGTTGGCGTTGGCGACCTAGCTCTCTCTCTCTCTCTCTCTCTCTCTCTCTTGTCACAGCTCTTCAAAATTGAAGCGACAATAACTGAATCAATACACCGGAGTTCGTGGGAATGGCCGGCAGGGAAGTTCGTGAGTACACAAATCTCACAGATCCTAAAGGTACATGCCATCTACCGTATATTTTCTTATTAAATACTGATAACATTTTTTTTTTTTTTTTGTTTTAAAAAAAATCTGCAATTATACCTTGTAATGGTGTGGATTGCAGACAAAAAACTGGGGAAGGGGAAGGATAGAGTGGATGATGAAGAAATTACTTTCCAGCGCATGGTTGCCAAGGTTAGCGAATCCTGCTTCTCCTTTTTATAACTCCTATACCTATTATCTATACATGTATGTGAATGTGTGCATATGAAGTTTCATCAAATCATCAGTATATTGATATTCAAAGCTTTTGCCCTAACCAATCTATACAACTCTCGTAGTTACTATGGGATTGTCGGAATAAGTAACTTAACTGCAAAAAATTGCTGGAATCATTTGGTTGTGTAGTCTATCAAACTTCAAGTGGACTCGTTATATGAATATTAAGCTCAATGCTTCTGTTTCATACATATCAAATCCTGTTTTTTCAGCTAGTATAGCCTAAGGGGGAGTTTGCAATTTACAAGCCACCTTTTATTGGTAGTTCACTTCTTGGTAGAGTCACATCACATGAAGGGCAGTGGTAATTAGCTAAATCTTACTAGAGTGCGTCAATTTTTTGTCAGTTAAATCATAAAATACTAAACTAGTGATCTTTAGTTGTAAATTCAACTTTCACAGTTCTTCTTTTTGCTATATTTTGTAGACTTGGGCTCCTTCCAGTATCTTTTAAGTACAGGGATAGTTTTCTGATAACACGCCCCGGCAGGGAACTTGGGTTCTCCCACTGGGTGCTTGATATGTGCAGATGCAAGAGGTTGCTGGGGAGAGAGGCGGTTACCTTCATGGGCGAGGCGGTATATATTCCGTTTATCAATTTCAGTTCATGTGTGCAGTGCAGGTTTATGTGCTTGAGCCTTGAGGTGTATATGCATTTAGTTATATAAAATTTTCTCTAAGTGTAATATGCAGCTTTGGACAGCGATGATTTACTTTATCTGAAAGAGCAAATGGAAGCTGAGGAAGATGCAGAGCGTCTCCTACGCCGTACGGAGAAGAGAGCATTTCAAGCATTTAAAATATCCTTTTTTGTTTATTTATTTGTTCATTAAAGATTGTTCATCGAGATCAAGTAAAACAATACATGCAATGCCTTGATTAGTCACGCAACATTGAATGCGGTTTGTTTACTTTTCCTTAATTGACAATCACAAGGCTGTGGCTGAAACTTCCCCAGCACCGGTGCCCTTGCCTCTTCGTGTTGAGCCCAAGCCAAAGAGTGGAATCAGGTATCTTTGGACTCTCTTGTCTTCTCTCTCAAAAAAGTAAAAATAAACAAAAATTTATATTGTGCTCAGACAGCAAGACTTGCTGAAAAGGGTGGTGGAAGTAAAGCCAAAGCGGCGTAATGTATGTGCAATTTCAGATGTCAATCAATCCTCTCCAGCTCAGAGTGGTCAGCCTCCTAAGAAAAATCATTTTGTGGTGTCCAAACACGAGAAAGAGAAAGTTGAGCCTCCCAATTCGTTCAGTAAAGTGGGAGACGAGATGAAATCGGATAACCCAGTTAAGAGTTTGCTGGCAGCATATCAAAGTTCTGATGATGACGAGGACTGATTCATGGAATACAGTTGAAGCTTTTTCCATTTGCTTCTTCTATGCCCTTGTTTGACATAGTACTCTTTATGAACTTAATGGGTTGTGAAAATTTTAGAACTAAAAAAAAAACTGTTTCTTCTGGTCTTCCTTGGTTTCAAGTTTTTCTTCTTTAATTTTTTTTTTTTTTTTTTNTTTTTCATTTCTTATGGTTGTTCTGTGGTGTGCGGATTTAGCATCATAGAGACAAGAGTTCATTTGGTTGATGCATACAGCAATTTTATTCTGTCTGCTGGTGGAGGTATTCAGAAAATATTGTGTACATTTTGGGGCTTCGTCTATGCTTGATGACTTGCGATCAAATTACTGAGTTGGAAGGAGTTGTGTTTTCCTTACTGTTGCACTGCCCTTGCCTTCTGTCAGATGGCATCATCAACATTTACCATTTCTCTTCTCCTCAATTCAGTTGATTTTTTTAACACAGTCGAGCTTTCCAAATTCTTGCCAATATGTGGCATACATGCCCAGCTAACTTAATAATATATTAGATTATTTTATTAATTTACGAAAATATTTTTGTCATGTATTTAATTTTTGCAATAAAGTTGACTCCAACAACTAAAAACGTGTTCCTTCCTTTTAGCACTTCCCTTTGTAAACAATCCATATTTCATTAGGTTTGAGCTTGACTAGCTAAAACTAAAAAATTTGCATCTTCATATAAGTTTATAGTCATCCTTATTAAGTTGGAGATAGGCTAGTTAATATTGATAACATAGTTTATCTAATTTGTGAGCTCAACTCAAGCTCAGTATTAGGAGATCTCCACTTCATTCATAATTGTTTAGTTGGTTAGCTAATATTCGAAATCTTGTTCTCAATGAAAAGTATTTTATAAGTATATAACTTACACGCATCTTGAAAATGGTGAAATTAATAAATGGACAAATGATAAGTGATGCATATATTTCAACTTGGATAAGCATGCTTCTGATTTGAATGGGTAAGAGTAATGAATTGCATGAGGAACATGGATATGCATCTACGGTAAGTCGCGCATATTATTATTACATTACACTACATGACATTACATTAAAAGTAAAGATGAGAATGAAAGGAAATAAGATTAGGATTGATGATGCAGCAGACAGCGCATGGAGTACGTGTCCAAATTCCTGCATTTCATCTCCCAAGTGTCCTTTCCTCTCTCTCATTTATTTAAACCCACCTCTTTCCATCTCTGCACATTTCTATATATCTAATCTTTGTTCAATTCTCCACACCCCCTCGTCAATTGTCACCAGCAATAATTAAACTATTTTCACTTTGTGCATAAAAAAGCTCGTGTATTTGTAGGTGCCTGCTCAACTCAACTACTCAAGTCAAGTGAGTGTTATTTATTTGGTCATAATCATATACATAGATAGACAGATAATAAGATCATATCAAGATGCCTCGAAGGTACGCATTCGGGAGGGCTGATGAGGCGACTCACCCGGACTCGGTGAAGGCCACTTTGTCTGAATTCCTCTCCACCTTCATCTTTGTCTTTGCCGGTGAAGGCTCTGTTCTCGCCTTCCGTAAGCAGCATTATTTATTTATTCATACATATCTCTGCACGTTACATGTTGGTTCATCAATATCATCATGCTTTAGTTTACTGGCTAGTATCAATTAATTAATTAATTATTAATTGGCACGCAACCCAGATGATATTTACAGCAAGGACAGTGGCTTGAGTGCATCAGGATTGGTGGCTATAGCCCTGGCCCATGCTTTCGCGTTGTTTGCCGCAGTGTCTTCGAGCATCAACGTGTCGGGGGGTCACGTGAATCCAGCTGTCACCTTCGGAGCCCTGGTGGGTGGCCGTGTCTCGGTTCTTCGGGCCATATACTATTGGGTTGCTCAGTTGTTGGGTGCGGTGCTTGCGTCTCTCCTATTACGCCTCTCCACTAATGGAATGGTATGGTATGGTACACATATAATAATATTTGCATGCACCAAACAAAATCAAATTCATTCATTCAATTAATTAATTAATTAGCTAGTGGTGGTGGTGTTGGTGTTGTTGCAGAGGCCAGTTGGATTCAGAGTAGGGAGTGGAGTTGGAGAGCTTCACGGGCTGCTGATGGAGATAATTCTAACGTATGGGCTGGTGTTCACGGTTTACGCAACTGCCATAGACCCGAAAAGGGGAAGCATGGGCACTATTGCTCCCCTGGCCATAGCCTTCATTGTTGGGGCCAATGTGCTTGTGGGAGGCCCCTTTGAAGGTGCATCCATGAATCCGGCCCGTGCTTTCGGGCCGGCCCTTGTGGGGTGGAGGTGGCACAACCATTGGATCTATTGGGTTGGGCCTTTTGTGGGTGCAGCCTTGTCGGCTCTCATCTACGAGTTTGGGATTATACAGCAGTCCGAGGCCCCACTCCACACTCATCATCAGCCTCTCGCCCCCGAAGATTACTAGCTACCTCATAGTTGCCTTTTCTTGTGTTTTGTTTGTTCTATTGTGTGTGTGTGTGGAGCTGATGAATAAGTAGAGATGAATAAAAGATGGGCGGCTCATGCATCTTCTATTGGGTCGTGCATCAAATGTAGTACGTACGTACGTACTACTCTTGTGCTGTGTTGCTTTTTGGTTCTGTAATTTGATGAGACAATCTCTCAGACTCTCTTCATTTGATTTGCTAATAATTGTGATTGTGTGGTGCTTGATTATTGCAACTGAGTGGTTGATTGTGGCTATTCTCCTATATGCATCTGATAGGTTATTGCGGCTTATTATTGGTTATTGAGTATGAATGATAAGACTATTCTCGTCCATGTACCGTCGTCTCTCTTTGTTACGAATGTCGACCTATTTCTTAAAATCATATTATTACAAGAAGCTTACCTTAGTGTTAGGACTAGCTAGATAGGTTAGATTAGTGTGCATGAAATTATTATGGAGGGTAGGAGACTAGATATATGAAATAAATTATACTAGATTAGTGTGCATGAAATTATTATGGAGTGTTGGAGACTAGATATATGAAATAAATTATACATGTGAAAACCAATTAAGATTTATAGTGATCACTAAGCTCGTCTAGTGTGGGAACTAGTTGGTGTGGCTATCATAATATTAAGTCGGTTGAATCAGTTCATTACCCAATTACAATATCTTAGAGTAATGCAATTAGTCATGTATAAGGGATTCATAATCAGTTTCTAACCTGAACATATCCCAATTACATATCTTGAGCATGCAATATTGACTTGAGCATGCATGCAATTTTTTACTTCAGCATCAGAATGTCCGCTTTAGCTTGTCTGAGCTATATTTTATAAACTGAGCCTCAGTTTATGATTCAAGATGAGCTATTTTATAGATTGAGATTCAGTTCATGATTCAAGACGATATATATTCAAGATGATATGTGAAGCTTGTCTGAGCTATTTTATAGATTGAGATTCAGTTTATGATCCAGGATGCGATAAAAGCTTGTCTGAGCTATTTTATAGATTGAGATTCAATTTATGACTCGGGACACGATAACTGTTGACAAAATTTTATAGATTGAGATTCAATTTATGACTCGGGACACGATAACTGTTGACAAATGTTTTTGTTCGAGCATATCTTCTATGATGAAAATCGTGAGATTTAGAGGGGTGTAGGTTCTTTGTGGTATAGTAAAAGTTTGTTGTAAATGATTTTTCAAACGGAATCCAAACCGGCCATTAAGATCAGGATATTGGGCCTGCAAAATCGAGAGAAAAGTAGTTTAGAAGCAACACCGGCAAGCTCTGTCGATCAGACCTCATAAAATGTCGATCTCATCTAGAATCTTTTCTACGAAGATTGACGATATTTCTCGTATAGACGCGGAACCATTAAAGCTATAAACTGGCCGCCCAAGCTGTCTAATCTTCAAAAGGGATCCTGCATGGACACACACGTCGCCACCCTACTCCCAGTGGCGGACCTATGTTTACTTTAGGGGCCGGGGGCATTGTCCCCCAGATTTGTAATTTTTAATATATATATATATGTATATATATATATAGAGAAAGGATCATATGAGAATGACTCTTAATGCGAGAAGTGAGAATGAGTCTGGATCATTGGATCCAACATATCAATAGTCTTGATTAAGTCAAATTTGGTCAATCATTAATGGCAATATGGTAAATTAACATATCATTATGGTCAAATATACATATATGACTACTCAATAGGGACAATCCGGTCATTACACACTAACCTAACAACCCTAATATTTATATCCACTCAAACACACACAAACACACACAATACACACACGCACACACTCAGCACACACACACACACTCTCCAGCGGCCCGGCGGAAAGTGGCCCACAAATCACCGGTCGCCGCCGCCACAGGACTGCCGCCGCTATCATCTCGACGAGCGCCGCCAGCCATCCCCATCAGCGCTCTCTCTCTCCCGTCCTCCCAGACACGCCGGAATCAAACCACCCAAACTACCGGCCACTTACATTCACCTAATCTCTCCCGTCGCCGCCCAATCGGTCGCCGCCGTCGCCGCCGCCCAATCGGTCGCCGCCGTCGCCGCCGCTAACATCCCGTCGAGCGTCGTCGTCCATCCCAGCACCGCCATCAGTCACCCACACTCGTCTCAAACTCGCTCAGCCTGCCCGTGGATCGCCCCGATTGTACTGACGGCGAGGGCCGCCGTTCCGGCGAATTGCAGAGCAATAGTTGAGGGATTGAGACCTGAACGGGACGAGCTCGCCGGCGATCTGAACGGGAGATGGAAGCAGCGGCCGGAAATTCTATTGGGGCTGAGGAATTGCATCATTTATTTTGGTGAATTTTGATTTAGGTGCAAATTAATTGGTTGATCTTTGTGTAGGAATTGTGTGAGTTTGGGAAAGCCTATTGGAAACCCAGTGAAGGAATTTTGTGAATTGGCCGTTATGGTGTTGATGAAATGTAATTTAGGGGTGATTTGTGTGTGAATTGATTTGGGGGAATTTTGATTTAGGTGCAAACTTAGTGAAGGAATTTTGTGAATTGGCCGTGTGAATGGTGTAGATGAAATGTAATTTGGGGTGATTTGTGTGTGAATTGATTTAGGGGTTAGTTTATGGAAATTAGGTTAATGTTAGGGATTATTGTGTAATTTTTTAAACTGTAATTATAATATAAATTAATTTGTGAGATAAATACTTATACTAAATTGTTAATAATTTAATAAATATAAAGATAGTGACAAGTAAATTTTAAAATATCCGATAGTGAACCAAATAAACGAATGTTTAAAATTTGAAAATTATATTTGTACTAACGAATAAAGTTTAAATCGAAAAATATTACATTGGTCACTTTCGATTGCTGATGTGCAGGTCGTGAGACATTAATGTGCTATTTGCATATCAATAATGTGCATGTCTTTGATCGTAAATGTGCAAGATTGTGAGACATTTATCGTATCGATGATATTTTTTATCACAATCCAAATTAAAATCGAATATAAATGCTCAATTTATTCGGCCAGTTATTCGACTTAACCGAAATAACTGAATTAACTTATTATTTATATTTATAATATTGTATTTAGTATTTTAAAATTAAAAGTAAATGTATACAATTGTTAGAAATATAAAGTTTCAAATCGAAAATTATAGTCTTGTCAATTGTGGTCGCTATTGAATAAGAATTTTACCAAATAATATTTTTTAATATAAGTTTGGTTTTTATTTAAGTTATTTAAATAAAAAACAAATGTCATCGTACCGATATTCCCGATATATAATAATAATAATAATAATAATAATAATAATAATAAGAATAGAACCAAAATATAAAAATTTGTACCGAATTTGTGTTTGTCAGATATCGTTTGATTTTGTGCAATCTGATAGACATTTATACCCTAACGTGCACTCGCAATACATAAAAAGTATAATTAAAAAAATAATATCATTTATAATAAAAAATATAAATAAATAAAAAGAAATCGAGAATTTGTTTCATATAGTTGGGCATGTTCGGTTGTTTTGTTTATTTAAAAATAATTAAATCCGACATTAACCACCTAATATTATTCGATCGATCGTTTGAATTACTGCGACTTTAGTACATGGAAAGCGTCATGTTATAAAGTGCAACGTAATGCTATATAAAGTGCAATGTATTGATATATAAAGTGCAATACCGAAATTTTGATATTTTAACTGGATTGTGTGTGTGCATTTTGTTTTTTTTTAGGATATATTATGTGATAGATAATAAAGTGTTATGTCACTCAATTTTTTATATTTATATTGCGTAATTATTTGGCGGTACTTGTTGACATTAATTGTGGAGTATGGTTATAAAGTGCAATGTGTTGTTTTATAAAGTTCGACGTGGTGTTTCATAAAGTGCAATATTTAGCTATATAAAATACAATATTCATTTATTATTTTTATTATATAATTTATTTATTATTATAAATTATTTTAATATTTTATAATATTATTTATTTAATAATTTATTTGTTATTAATATATATGCATTATTAACAAAGGGTCACATGCAGACATGATCAAAGGGTTTAATCTTAGTCAAACACACGGTGACATTTTTGCAAATAAGTGGACTTTTGATTTTTCATGCAGGGGTATTTTAGTTATTGCGTAAAATGCACTATTGCCATAAAGTGCAATATCACATACAGTAAAGTGCAATTTGTATAACAATATAGTGCAGTCTGAATAGTGATATTTTTAATGATTCCAAAATCGATATGGTGCAATGCACTGTACATTAAAGTGCAATTATTAAAGTTTTATTAAATTACAGATTTGATCCATTAACCAAATTGTAATATAATTAAAATATACAAAATTGCAATTAGGTCCCTTAAACATATCTAATTTTCAAAAAAAAAAAAAGCCCCAAACCCCCAAATTCAATTTCCCGTCCACTTTGCCGGCGAATTAGGCAGCGGCGGCCTCACGCTCATCATCTCCGCCGTGTCAGAAAGCCATAGCCGGGTTGTGTTGTTCATCATCAAGAGAAGTGATTACTCATTGAACAAATGATTCGACAAAAATCCCAATTGATCGACCGCGAATTTATGTGATTTGAAGCCCCAATGTGTTTTAATATCTCCTGGTCGATTTCGAGGTCGTCGGAGGACTGCGAATCCGGTGAGCGGCGCTGCGGGTCTCCATTGGACACGGACTTCGGCGGTGGATCGATTGTAGATGGCTCTGCAATTTTCTGGCGGCGGAGTCGCGGGCAACCGAGGTTGGTTCCAGTGGTCTGCTCATGTGGAGGCGTGAATCTCTGAGATGGCGACGGCGGTGGTGTTATTGGCCGATGGCGGGGCGGTGACCGGTGATCGACTGGCCGAGTTGCGACGGGAAGTGTGTGTGAGTGTGTGTGTTTATGGGTGTGTCCCGTGTGAGAGAGTGGGGTGGTGTGAGTTATAATTACCAACGGGCCCTTCCATGTAATTGCAGTATTAATTCCCCCATCTGCTTGACATCCGTCAGATTGTGTTGATCGTGTGCACCATATTTATTCTCATTTCTCGCATTAAGAGTCATTCTCACCGGAGCGTGACCCTATATATATATATATATATATATATAGAGAGAGAGAGAGAGAGAGAGAGAGAGAGAGAG